TTGCTTGTCAGTTTTACTTGTTGTCATACTTTTTGGTAATCAGGTATACAAAAATTGTGGAAAATTGTATGCCCTCTTAAAAATGGTGTAATCAGATACAAAATTGTATGCTTCTTAAAAATGGTGTAATCAGATACAAAATTGTATGAAATTATATTGTCGTTTATGATGTTTTAAGAAAAAAACCCACAATATAATTGCCTTCCTTTGGAAAACCAACAATTTTTTTGGTAGATTTTTTTCATAAAATTTGTTGATTCTTTAAATACTTATTACCTAATTCCTCAGTAATTATAAAACAAGGAAATATCAATATTCTTTATAAAGAATTCTTAGAAAGAGTGACAAGGTCTCTTGGGGATAGTTGTCTCATAGACTATCATCCATATTTTTTTAAAGAAAGCTGTCAAAATATTTATCTAGGAGATTTTTTTTGTATTATTAAGGAATGACTGTAATATAATTCTAAATTCCATTTTAAACCGGAGTAAACCATGAAAAAACATTGATGACGTCACGGTCACATGACAAAATGATGTCTATGAACTGATAAACAAAACAACGTCAGCCAATCAGAAGACGCGTTACATCCAAAATTAAATTATTGAAATATATACATCAAAAGAATAAGAAAGTATGCACTGCATGCATGCATAAACTGTTTGCTAAAATCAATTATGAACACACAGTGACACACACACTGAAAGTTTTGTTGTTTGAGGTATAACTTTAGGGTCCTTAGTTGTGTTCTGAACCCAATCTTACTGTTGGTTTCCAATTTAAGCCAAGGTATGAACAGACATTGCTTTATATGTAATATCCTTTATTTCTAATTCAATAGGAAAAATGAGATCAACATAGTCGCCAAACTTTTTTAGTTTTCATTGACAGAACATCAGGTACATATACAGCATATGAAATCAAAGGGGCCTCTGTGGCTGAGTGGTCTTAGTAGTCCAACTACTGTATCACTAGCCTGTCAACACTGAGGTTATGAGTTCGAAACCCTCGTGGGGCAGGTGCACTCAACTCCAATCTTAATTGACTAGGATTGTCAGTTTTCCTACCGAAGGTCGTGGTTCTCTCCGGGCACTCAGGCTTCTTCCACCAATAAAAACTGACCGCCATAAAATACCACAATAGTGTTGAAAGTGGCGTTATACACCAATCAGTCAAATCAATCATGAAATCAAAGGATAATGATTGCTTCTATTTGGCTAATCTTCTTGCCTTAAGGGCCAGTGTGAGTTGTTCCAATCACTTATGGGGGCCTTGTGAGCGAGTGGTCTAAGTAGTCCAACTACTTTATCACTACTGGCTTCCTCCACCAATAAACTCTTGACAGTTATGAAATAGCACATAGTGCTGATTGCTGAAAGTGACATTAAACACTAATCTATCAATCAAATTCCTTGGAATCCATTGTCTGTTCAAAATCGTCCATCATAGATTATAGGGGTGAAATTGTCCTATATTTTGTAAACCAAAATAAAAAAAGAACATTGCATGGTAAAAATGTTCCCAATGTCAGATTTGCCTACTTCTAATTAAGGGCTATTACATTAAAATAAATGAGGGAGTATAGGATGGGAAGTTTTAATTTTGGACATGGGTCATTTATGGTGTTATATCCATTTGATCTGTGCATATTTTCTCGAAGAAATCATGTTGGTTTTAGGAATATAAAAATAAGAAGATGTGGTATGATTGCCAATGAGACAACTCTCCACAAGAGACCAAATGACACAGAAATTAACAACTATAGGTCACCGTACGGCCTTCAACAATGAGCAAAGCCCATACCGCATAGAAGTCTTTTCTACCCTTCCACATCTGTTTTAATAGAATAGCTCAAATATCAAATTTTTAGAAAACTCCTTTTTATATGACCGCGTCTTATATTGGTATGACGTTGGCGTCATCGTCGTCGTCCGAAGTCACATTGGTTTTCGCACAATAACTTTAGTTTAAGTGAATGGATCTCTATGAACTTTTACCATAAGATTCAATACCACAAAAGGAAGGTTGGGATTGATTTTGGGGGTTATGGTACCAATAGTTAAGGAATTAGGGGCCAAAAATAAGCATTTTTCTAGTTTCCAGACAATAACTTGTGGAACGGTGTATGGATCTCTCTGAAATTATACCACAAGTTTCCATACCACAAAGGGATGGTTAGAATTTGCTTTGGGGGGTTATGGCTCAAACCGTTTAGGAATTAGGGGCAAAAAAGGGGGAAAAACAAGGGTGTCCTGGTTAATGGACAAATGCTTTAGTACAAAACATAATTAAAAGCAGTGTAAGGGAGGTAATTCAAATACATCATTTGAATTACCTCCCTTACACTGCTTTTAAATTATGTATAAAGTAATGGTTAATGAACAAGACAATTTAAAAGCAGTGTAAGGGAGGTAATCCAAATACAACGTTTTGATTACCTCCCTTACACTGCTTTTAAATTATGTTTAAAGAAATGCATATTTATAAAGGAAGACCAGTAAAAATATCTACAAATGTTGCATCTTTTTTTTTACAAAAAAATCCACATGAAAGATTTGACACCATATTTTAAATTCTATTATAAAATAGATTAAGTTAGCACTATGGTAAATTTAAATGGGTAATTATGGTTGCAAACTCCATTGGAAATTTGAATTGAGATTATGACCATATCTTGAGGGAAAGAATTTTAAAGGGGCAAAAGGGGTTGTGGGGGGTCAATTTTTTCTCATTTCAGATTTCAGAAATTAAAAAGAAAAATTCTCCAAATAACTTTTTTTGCACAAAAGCAAAAAATTGAATATAAATTCAAATCATATAACCAATTCTAAGTTCATTGACGACAGTTATTCTGTGTCAGAAACCTTTTATGTGTCAAATATTTAATTACAATCCAAATTCAGACCTGATATCAAGCGTGAATATTGCGTCCATTTTTGCCCCAACTGTTCAGGGTTGTACCTCTTCTGTCGTATCCAGCTGCGCTCGGCGAAGCAATTTATTGTGAGTTGTTGCCGTTGAATGATGATTTTGGTCTTATTTTTGCATTTTTGTCTGTTAACGTGAAACCTGATAGATAGAAATTAAGCAAAAATAATCAGCTATACATGATTTATAAAAATGATATAATGACCAACACTATTAATTAACTCATTATAGGAATAATTGCCTCTCTAAGGATTTTTCATTGATTTTCATGTTTTTGCCTATGATCTTAAAAACTCAATTAGATAAACAAAAATGTAAACAGCAGGAGTTTTATTATCTTAAAATGACACATGAATGACAATTTTTTACCAATTTTAGTGTTATAACTTATTATCTTGAAATTCTATTAGATAGACATGACAGACAGAAGCTGTAAACCAGAAATACAAGATCTAAAAAAATGCCAAATTGAATGAAAACATTAATTGACCCATAAATAACAATATGGATTCATTTGAGTGTTTCTCCCTATAAATTTTGTGAATATAACAAAAACATTTCAGCAATACATTACAAGATCTTTAAAAAAAAACATCAATAGTAGTTATTGCTCTTAAAAAACAAATTTTAGCTATTTTGCATATATTTTACATGTATCTTGAAAACTTTTAATTGATACACAGGAACTGTTAACTGCAAAATGATCAGCTGTACTAGATCTACAAAAATACATTTATGATTGAAATCATCAAGTCACTTTGGTTAAAGGTAACCTTGACCTAATCTGACAATTTGACCAATTTAAGTGGTTTTGACTATAATTTTTGAAATTTTAAATCCATAAGGGCTATTCCATTAAAATGTATGTGGGAGGGTAGGAAGGGAAGTTTAATTATTGAATGTGGGTCATGGGTCTTTTTTCATTATGCGTCTATTACCATTATGTAAAATTATCTAAAAAATGGTTCTTGTTTGTAGGGATATTTTAAAAGTCCCTTCCTACCCTCCCACATACATTTTAATGGAATAGCCCTAAACACAGTCTAAATACATGGAATACAGCAAAAATTAAAAGGGATGCATGATGTACAAAAATGTAAATGATGACTGAAAATCAAAAGGCTTCTTGTAGGATTTATTGCCCTAAATAATGATTCTTGCCAAGTTTTTGCTTATTATTTAAAAACTATAATAGATAGGCCAAAAAAGACAACAGAAGAAGTAGATAGGAAGACTGACAACTCAAAAACAATGAATTATAATAGGTCAGCTTGTATTTAGTATGCATGATGAATATAATGATTGTTACAATGTTGGTGTAAATGAAGATATCTGTTTTACAGGGTTTATCTGACCTTGTCACCTTGGCCTAATTTTATGGTTCATTGGTCAATTTTAAGGTTTTTTATTAGGTCCATTTCTCAGATATATTTGGTATATAGAATAATTGTAAGGAGATGCCAGCTGTCTGACCTCCTTTTCATGGATCATTAATAATGTTAAGTTTATGTAGTACTTGCAGTAAGACCTTGATCTAAGACTTTCAACATAAACAATAATTAACATAGAAAACTAAGACTTTGGTCTAAAGATTTGATCAACAACCATGTAACTAGATTGATTGGTTCATCTGTTAATAGCAGATAATGCCATTAAATATAATTATATTACCTTCATTTTCTAACTTAATTTTCACTTTCATTGGAGTTGTACATGTTGTATTTACCACATTTGTTAAATGTTTTTTTTGTAAAAATAAATGGGGAACAAGGTTTTCTTGGTATTCATAACTAACCTAATTTCTAATTGTACATCTTGCAAAATGCAGAACACAACATTGGTTTTAAAAGGTGAATAATTAAATTGAGAAAACAGCATATTAGATGTTTGCCATTAACATGATTGATATTAATACCGGTAATTGAAGATGCAGAAAATGGACATGACTAGTTGCTTGATTATTTGCTCTTAAAACTAAGTTAGCTGTAAGAAAAACCAGTAGTTAGTCATGCAAACTAATTAGTCATTGTCATTATATATATAAGTATATTATTATTTTTGTCTTTTTTCAGACGTAATTGTGATGGACACGACAAGTATTGATGATGTGGATGATTGACCTCTACCTTTGGCTTTGACCTTTTGCATCAGTGTTGTCGTAACTACCACTAACTCTGACAAACTTGACAGTTCCTTAAAGAGTGAGTGATTGTTTGTCACGTTGAGTAATGGCTGTCATTCTGCAAGGGCTTAAGCGAAAATCTGTCAAACAGATAGCTTCTTTACATTGACAAAGACTGAAGGATATATATTTTTTTTGTTCTGAACTCAACTTAGTACGAGGATCTTCATGGGTTATATATTTATGTAGGAAAATAGGAAGAAAGCTTTTGAAACATGGAAGATGAATAAGTACACCACAATACATATCCTTGATTCTGAAAGCAGTAAAACATGTTTCTGCAAACTTTTGACATTACAAGATTAGACAATTTAATCAATATTGCATTGAGGGAAATTACTCTAGCACTTGTAGCAAAGAATACATTATCATACATATTATCATTGACATAGAACAAGGTGAAAAATAAAAAAGTTTTTTATTTTTTTTTTTATTTTTCCGGGTCAAGTTCATGTATATTTTGCAATTTCAAATTTTAAAATGTGTGGGTTTTATTTTAATGGTACTTCATATATAATTATAATAAATTAAATACCATTGAATCTTAATAAGTTATTTTTCAATAAAATCAGTAAGAATATACATCATTGGTTCAAGGGGAGACAACTCTGGAAACTTAATGTGTTGTGATAAACAAAATTGAAACTGGCACTGTCATGACTGTTGTAAAATCAGAACGAGGAGAATGTACCCTGAAATTATTTTTTTTAAAAGGGGTGGTAAAAATCAATGAAATAAATTATATTTTGACTACTGTAAATTCAGAAATTATTGCTTGCATTTATTATTGTGATTTTCTGAAGAATGGACAAAAATGTGAGATTAATTATTATGATTTCAATGCATTAAGATATATGGATTACATATCAGAATGCGAGTTCTTATTATTGCGATGCTCACCTAGTTGCATTATTCGCATTGATAAAAACCTCGAATTTACAGTATCTGAAATGTGCTCATATGGCTGCTTGAGTATTGAGAATTTCACATTTTGAAAGAACGACAAACTTGTTCATCATTTTAAATGAGCACTGATAGTCTGATTGCTGTTAACCAGTCTCTAATTTGCAGAGCACACTTACTATCCATGTGTCGTTCCATTTTCATTATTTCAGATCTTTTGAAGCATATTTATCTTCAATAAAATTTTTAAAGCAATTTTTCAAAAATCTTCCTGGTAGCTTTATTGGTGTCAATATTAATTTTTATTTGATACTTCTGCTTTTACTTAAATGACATACAGAATCTATAGCAGCCAAACCCTATTTTCCTTAAGGAATGTAAGATCACAATTGGCTTCAGTTTTCTGAAACTGCTGAACCTCTTCATGCTTGAAAAACAAATGGAAGTTCCCTTTAAGAATTCCTTATTTTGTTTGTTCCATTCAGATGAAAAATATGTTTACTAAAAAAGTCCTGATTAATTTCTTTAAGAAATATTGAAAAAATTTGGAGAAATATCTGTTAAAGAAAGAGGTATGTTAAGAGCCAGTATTTGGCCCTTGAAATTTAAAAAATTGAAAACAAGCATTTCAAAATTATGTTAATTTTATTTGATATAATTTACAAATGAACAGCTTAATGTGGTCATGACACTGTTGTGCAGTAAGGTCACATGTGATGTCCCTATATGACTCATAAACATGTTGAAATTTACGTTCTGGTAATTCACCTAAAATTACCATTTAGAGTTATACTTTTTAAATTTTGAATTCAAGGGGTCAAAAATTTGGCCTTATCTTACCTTTTCCTTTAATGAAATGGAATTATTTTTACTGAGTTCATGAATTGTCCAGTGTTCACATAAGGCATACATACTAAGTGAGTAGTGCATATTTTAGAATCTGCTTAGCTAACCTGACTTAAAGTTTGATTTATCTGTTACTATTATTTAGAGCTAGTCCTCCATTGTCATCCAACAACTTATTAACAAATTTTCTCTTCTGAAGCCACACAGCTAATTCTAACCAAATCTGATTATATCCCAGTATATCGATCTAAAAATAAACATGACAAATGTTATTAAAAATAGAACATGCAGATAACACTCAAAATTTAACATATTCTATGCAGTTCATTACCTCTTTGGATAGAAAATTAGATTAAACATTGATGATTTGGTTGCCACTCTTTCTAGAAAATGTTTTTTTTTTCAAAGCATTTTAAATGAGTCATTTAGTCCTGAAAAGTTTCAGAGACAAGACTTTATGAATAAGTCCTGATATGGTTCTCTTTCAAATTTAGGTTGGCATACTAAATGCCAAACAAACAAGATAGTTATCCTTTCATAAATAGTAATTTTATCTTCTATATCCAGCCTCCATTTCTTGATGTCCAGTTGTATGATTTTAAACAACCAAATCTGCATAAGATGTATCATAAAATGCAATTTTTAGCAAAATCTCTTTTAGTGTTGTTTATGTAGAGTTTTGCTTTTTACAGAAGATAAGGATGATTTATTTAGTTTTAAAATTACAAAATATACATATATATGCTGTTTATACAAGGCAAATGAAACTTGTAAAGGGAAATAACCTGCCTTCTTAAAAGAGGCATTGTTGCAACATTTATACTGATTATTATGTTTCATTTCAGATTTGAAGCCATGGATGAAGATGATGATATGCACATTTGTTTGGTTTGTCAGGCAACAGTGGTAGGACTTATAAATTACGTCAATCACAAAAAGTTTGAATGTCCTGGAAGAAAAAATGCAGACAAAGGTGGAAAGACGACGAAACAAGTGCAAGCTGTACCCCAACCTACATACACACAAGGGGAGACTACTACTCAGTCTTTTATGCAGTTATTATCACCAACTGATAGTCAGTACTCACAATCTCCCATGTTTTCTAGTCACCTAGATAGTCCAGCACAAATTACTACCAGTCAACAATACCTAGATAGTCCAGCACAAATTACAACCAGTCAACGATACCTAGATAGTCCAGCACAAATTACAACCAGTCAACAATTGTCTCAGTCACCGATGCTTACCACTAACCAACTGTTTTCTGTGAGCTCTTCTCCAAGCCACGGAGTAGCTTACACAACTCAGATCTCATTTAGTGATGAGATTGGCCCTGTGATGTCATTACAACAAAATACTGATCTTCCATCACCTCCTGCATCCGGTATGAACAGTAATGAAAAGGTGTCTACATCCCAGACATCAAACCAAAATTCAGCCATCCAGACCAGCAGATTAAGCAGCTCATCATCACAAGTAACACAGTCTCTGACAGTTGATGCCAATGAGCAGTATTTAACACTTCCTTCAGGAGGTTTTAGTCCCTCTGGTAATGTTGTGAATCCAAATGTTGTCATGAGCTCGGAAGGGTCCGATTTCTTTTCTTCCTTAGCATTGCAAAAGAAAAGTGAAAAAGTTGAGACACAACAGAATGAGAATAAGGATAGCCTGACAGCTGACTTGCCAATATCTAACATACTCAATAGTTTGGACTTGTATGATGAAGATTTAGATTTTGTGTTTGCGGATGACAATTTTCTGCAAGATGCTTTCACTGACGAATCTGATGACGACAGTTTTCCTCCACCCAATCATACTCACGGAAAGTGGAAACCAGGAGAGGGGCCTTCACATCACTCTAAAGTTTTATGGCAGCCAGGCCGAAGACCAATGCATCCATCAAAAGGGAAATGGAGGCCTGGTGAAATGCCCGGAAAGGCAAAAGGCAAGTTAAAGTCTCATATCCTGGCAAGACAGCAAGAAAATGCAAAAGTAGAAGAAGAGAAAGCTCAAACAAGAGTAGCCTATAAGAAAAGAGAGGAATATAAATGCCAGTATTGTGACATAACATTTTCTAACAGGTTTGTTTTTTCAAGCCATTGCCAGAAACCAGAACATAAGAGAAATGTTTCAAACTATGATAGAATAGAAGAGGCTGTCAAGAGTCTTGAGGTAATAGAATGGAAAAATGATACCGATGAAAGTAAGAAAATTAAACTTGACGAAATAAAAGAAGAAAGAACAAGTCCGGATAATGACAATAGGGAAGTTTTGGATGAAAATAAATCTGTCGAAGTTGAAACACCAAGTAGTGAAGCAGAGGAGAAGAAACATGAACCTCCTATTTATGTATGTTCTATCTGTGACAAAAAGTTTAATAGCAAATACACTATGGCACGTCATCTTTTGTCTACTTACCACAAAAATCATACAAAAGGAAATCCAGATACCATCAAAGTTTTAGAACAATATCACAAATATATAGTATGGCTAAGCCCTTATCAATGCACAATTTGTCAATTTTATTTCAATAGAAATGATGATTTCATGGAACACTTGAAGTCTGAAGATCATCAATTGCAGTGTGAGAGTCTTGATGGTGAAATAATGTGTAGCATTTGTAAATTTTGTTGTCACGATAATGGCTCTCTTCTTCAGCATATTGAAAATAATGGCATACATAAGCAAGCTGCAAAGAAAGGATGTAAGCCATGTATAATCAAAGAAAAGAATTACGATACTGTATGCAAATATTGCAAGAAGAGTTTGCATTCTAAATTACATATGAAAAGACATATGAGAGCCCAACATTTCAAAGAATATGCAGAATATGAATCAACATGCAAATTATGCAACAAATTTTTCTTCGATACTTACACATACAAACGTCACATGTCCACGGGTCAGCATAAATTACGAGCAGAACAAAGAAAGGCATCAGGAAATACTGCTCCTGAAGAAGAGCCAGAGGTCTTCAATGAAGGAGTTAACAGGACAAGAATTAATCGAAAAGTTGAAAAGCCATATAAATTGGCGAAAAAGAATACGAAGAGTATAAATAAAAGCTTCAAATGTGAATATTGCGACTTTGTTGCATCACAGTACAATGAGCTGAGACCACACTACATGGAAAGTCATGCAAACCATGTGTTCGTTTGTGAATTGTGTGATTTAACTTTTATAACAGAGAAAGCACGAAAAGTTCATTTTGCTGGAATCAAACATCAAACAAACTTGAGAAAATCTGAAGGAAATCCTACCTCACTGATTCTGCAATGTGATTATTGTGATAGAAGATTTGAGGACGAAAAATTGAAATTATTTCATACAGAAGTTTACCATTTACATCCAAATTCAGAAGAGTCTTTGAAAGACAAACTAGGCCGGGGAGATGTGACATCTTTGATGTATCGCGAATTCCTGTCAACAATTGATCAAGTAGAAGATGAAAGAATTCAGTGTCTGGAATGTCCGAAGACCATCATGAAGGACTACATTCTTGAACATTTACGGTCACATTCAGGGGACAAGCCATATAAATGTCGTTATTGTAGTTCAGGTTTTGCAGCACCACTTTCTCTGAGAAGACATTTAATGTCACATGTAGGTTTGGCCGATAGAAAATGTGAAATTTGTGGTAAAGAGTTCAAGAAATATGGTTCTTATCGAGAACATATGACAAAACACTGCCTTGAAGAGAACAATGCTAGCAAACTAATTTGTGATGTTTGTGGACAGGAATTTCTATTACAAAAACAATTGAATACACATATGAGAAGACACGGAGAGAAAAAGTTCAAGTGTACCTATGAAGGATGTCGTTGGGCATTCTATTTATACAATGAACTTAAAGCTCATTATAGGTCACATACAGGTGAGAGAGCTTATCTTTGTGACATCTGTGGATATGCTGCTGGAACAAAAAATCGTCTAAACCGTCATCATCACACGCATACTGGAGAAAGAGCCTACCATTGTGAATATTGTAATTACAAGGCTGGAACACGAACTCATCTCCGCAGACACATGAGAATACATATAGGTTCTAAACCATACAAATGCCCTTATTGCCCTTATTCTTGCAATACACATGAGAACATTAGAAAACATATATCCAAAACCAAGAAACATGCTGGACTGCCAATCTATCCATGTAAATTTTGTGATTATGGCACGAGTAATACTGTTGATTTCCGTTTTCACTTAGAACAGAAACATAAAGGAGAATTCAATTTTAAAGCAAGCGATGGATTAGCTATCATTGCTGGATTGTACAAAAAGGATGACGATCCAGACAAACCTTTAGAAGGAACAGAAATATTCCAGGTACGGGAAAGAAAGATCAAAACTGAGAGGCAGCCTCGTCAAAAACAAAAGAAACAAGCTATCCATTTTGCAGATGCAAAGTATGATATCCCAGGAGAAACCAAAATTGAAATTAATCAGTATCAGGTAAACAATGAAGATTTCGACAATCAGACGGAAATAGTGGATGTTCATGTTACACATGAGCAGTGGCCAGCCTACACAACACAAGCAAAAATAACACCAATTTCATCAGACATGCAGTCTTACCAGAATGTAATTGAACCGAGTTATTCCGGACAGATATCTTCTGTTGGATATTTTATGCCAGTTACAACATCAAATACTGTCACTGTAGAAAGCTCATTGATTCCTCAACCTCCTGCCTTACAAGTTGATGTTGTAGCTAATGGTATTAAATTTCACTATGATTAAAGTAAGACAAGAATTCTGAAAGCAGAACATTCCAGTTAATAGTTGAGATAAAAAAGGAATGAAATAAAAAGGAATTTTTTAGTGAAAATTTTACTCTTATAACTAAAATGTATAAGCAGATATTTTGGGTATCAGATGTGTGACATTATCATGATTATAGGTAGAATAGAATTGAAACATTAAGATGCTTGTTTTAATATAGAAATTATGTTACCAAGTTTGGCTGTATTTTTTGTTTGTTTGTTTGTTTGGTTTCACCATGTTTTTTTTTTATTATTTTGTTGATTTTTGTTGATTTTGTAATTAAAAAACAAACCCTAGTCCATGAAATACATGTTCAAATAATGGCAATAAGTAATTGGCTCCATGTTAGCTTAATTGTTCACCTAAGCATTGTCATCTTTAAATAAGTTTTGCTGAAAATATTTAAAATGTCACTCAATCCCTGTAACATCATACAGACCTCAGTGTGGTAAATTTTATGAAGAACTTTTGAAAGCTCTATATACAAATTACGGGACTGCATCTGGTCTATTACTATTGGTATTGTAGCATATTAAAGGGATAACATTACTTTCTAACTTTCATCAAATGAGCATTTAAAAAAAATAAGTTTGAAGAGATCATTTTATTATATAACACACTGCAATCAGGTTTATTATTTACCGTTGAATATGAATTTAATGGAATAGAGGTTATGTTTAAGACTGTTCTATTGAAACATACATGAGGGGATGATATATTTATAGCAAGTCTTAGAAATGATCGAGCCAAAAATCATTGTTATGTGGTGCATGGAAAATGATGTTTGGGAATAATTGGGTACCAATAAATATAGTGTCTTTAATCTATGCAATAGCACAGAGAAAATATACTTATATAAAATGAATTAAGATAATGTGTGTTTTCCAAATTTAAGTAAGGTATAAGTAGTACCTCATGTACCCTTGTGAGAAACATTTATCAATTCTGTCAATTATTTCAAGTCTGTACCATGTGTACAGACATATGAACATAAACATTTGTTGATCAAAATATTCAATTTTTTACACAAATGTTATTTATTCTCTTAGGTGTTTATTTTCACTTTGATGTTTGTGTAGATCAAAGATGCATTAATTAATTTTTTTAATAGATATTTCAGACTCTCCTGCGACTAATTTCCCCAAAAAAATAAAGAGAAAAAATACTTGTAAGTCATGAACATTTTAGTATAACTTGGATTCAATTTTTTTTGTAAGATTTTTTGTGGAAAGAGCTCCTGAGTGATAGGCGATGAGAATGTTAAAATAGCTCCTATGGCTAAAACCGAGTGGAGTCCCTGATGTATGTTTAGATAGAACAACCCTGGAAAATATTTTCTGATATCGCAATGTTTTTATGTTAATGCACACACACAATAGGAAAAATATTTTTCTTTAAAATTAAAAAGTTTGTTGGCTGCAATTATTAATTACCGTATGCTAGTGAATATGCTTGAAAATTATATTTTTTTGGCTCAATTTTTATACTTTTGCTTGAAAGAAGTGGCTTATTGTAGATTTAATTTGTTTTAAATATGTTGAAATCAATTTCAAAAGGGCATTTTCAGAATAATTACGAGTTATTTATAGACTAGGAAGCATTTATCATGTTTATATTATATAAGGACTTTTAAGGTGCTATGGTATATATGTAACAATAGGTTTATCCTAGAGAATAATTATCTGTGGTAAAAAAATTAAGGCAATAAGTAATGCTATTTTTGTTATTGGCAGGGTTTTCACTAAGATGAGTCCATGAGATAGACTTTTAAAAACAAGAATGAGCCTACTACTTAACAGATGAGTCCCAAGCTGCAACTTATTTCTTTGTGTTAGGGCTTTGATTATGTTGTTATTAGTATTGTCAGAATTGAGCACTGGTCATGACCAGAAATTGTCCAAAAAGATAAAGATACAAACAAGCGACTTGGTACAGGCACAAATTGTGGTGAGGTTAAAGCAGTTTTATGTGGGCAATACATCCCCATTTTTTTGCCTATTTAGACCATATGTCTTTTAAAAGAAAGATACACACAAAAAACCTCCACATTTCAACTACCAACAGGATGACCACTGACTTGATAAGAAAACAAATAGCACATAAAAATAATTTGGAAAGTAGGATGAAAATGTGTTTGCCACTAGTGAAAGCTAGCTAAAGTAGCCATGGCTGTGCCTGTTCATTCATTTGTACCTGCATTTTGTCTATGCAAAGTTTGTCAATGAAACAAAATATTTAGAAACTTATGGCATTCTGCACCTATTTTAATTTTTTTTTCAATGAATGTACTTGTTTCATGCACATATAAATATATAATTAAATGATATAGAATGAAAACTCCTTGCCTAACCATTTTTCTTGTGATATTAATAGTTTCATAAGTGATTTACTTTCTACGGAATTCAATTGCTAAATGAAATGATTTTTATTAAATATGTATTTATTAATAGTTTTATTTCAAAACAAGTCGAAAACATCAAATCAGTGAACATTTTACTGTTATTTTGTTATTTGTTTAGATTTTCAATGTCATCATGTTATTGTAATTGTCTTTGGAAATACATACCATGTACTGGTATTAAAGCATTTTGACAACAAACAATATGATCCAAATTAGGACAAAGTATGGTAGGGTTACTTTTTGGCTAAAACCTTCATAATTTTTCAAAATTATCAGATTTAAATCTGAAATTTTTGTTTCAAAAGTCAAATGATTATGCTTTTTAAAGTCCATCTCTTTCTTTATACCAAATCAGTGTTTCATGTTAAAACTCATCTGCCCAAGTAAATAAAAACTTTATATATTCAGAAGACTATGAAATCACAGCCAAATTTGCAAACTTTGTTGGAAAAAAGTATGAGGGGATGTTTGACAATTATCTGTGTTATGCTATTTCATTGGCAGGCTTATTCCACAAATAGTTTGTGAACTCATGAGTATCACACTACTTATACTTCTATTTAATATTTATTTGTTTGACATACATCTGAACGGATTTTTTCAACTATGAAAATTTTACTCAAAAGTGACCAGAAAATATGGAATGAGGCTTTGGCCAAAACTTGTTCTTATCATACCATATAAAAATAGGAAGATATTGTATGATTGCCAATGAGACAAATCTCTGCCAGAGACTAAGTGACGTAGGAGCTTAGAGCTATTTTCCTAATGGTTGCAAAAGTTTGGTTGGCTTGCTTCCTTTGTTTCAATAAATGTTTGCTCAAGCATTGTAATTAAGATTGACATCTGCAATCAATAGATAGGCGGGACTTCAGCTTGTATACATTATACATTTGTACTTATAAATGTAATTGGATGTTCAGTATAATGCAGAGTATAATGTATACAAGCTGAAGGCCAACCTATCTATTGATTGATGTCAATCTTAATTACAATGCTTGAGCAAACATTTATACAAACAAAGCAAGCAAGCAAACCAAACCTTTAAACTACAAACACAGGAAAATACAGCCTTCAACATTGAGCAAAACCCATACTACATAGCAAGCTAAAACAGGCAAATAAAAGGTTTTTTTTTATAGTACCAATAGTTTGAATTGGCATGTATAGGCTTGATATAAAACAAAATCGAGAATTTTCCTAAAAAGCACTTATAATATATCAAAAATTTACGAATTTTCTTCTTAAAGGGAAGGATACCATATATATTGGTGCTACAATATTCATGCAGGGATGTTTTATATGAATGTGTGTATAATATTGCTTAATGATACATTGTAATGTGATTTAGTGTGCTATTATTATGTAATTTTTATATAATTTTGCTTACATTTTTTGTTGATTATTTGAAAACCATGAGGACTTTTGATTATGTGAATAGGGAAAATGAAAAAATTACATCTTGCACAGTATCAGTTAAAGCTGTTTATGTCTTTTGTTATTATGTATGAAAATTAATCATTATTTAAGGATTGGAGACTGCCATTGAGGGCCTCATTTATTGTGAAAATTTTGATTGTGAAAGTATGAAAACAAATTATTAATGAGAGAATGATAACTGTGAATTATTTGAAATGAATTATGATTTCAATTAAAGCGTTAATTGCACAATAAAAATATCTAAAAAGGAATTTATTATTTTTTGTTTCAACATGGAGATGCCCTAAGAGCGATATATAGTAAAGTATTTTCATACACACATGTGTGATGTATATGTATATGCATGAAATATTTGCCACTGGATAATAAACAACCATCAATCATCATCATAACTTATCTATGGCTTCTTGTGTGCCATCTTTTACTAAGTTGACATCATCTCTTTGCCTCATTCACACATTACAACTCATCACTATCAAATTGATGACCAAATATAAATTCATTGTGTTGGGTAGTACCTGAAAATAGTGATACGCAAATATTTGAACTGACGACCGACTGAATAGAAAAGATGAATGCAGTATAGCCTTTCGCTCTTAAAATGGGTTCACAAAAGCATGCAAAACATATACCAGAATAAACAGGTATACAATATCATGAAATAACAAATATCCTTGTATACAGAAATGAAAAAATATATCTACCAGAATACAGGCTCGCAATAACCTAAACATGATGATACAACATGTATAGGGGAAATACAGGAATACAATAGCATGAAACAACATATACCAGAGAATACAACAACACAATAACATGAAACAACACATATCATAGCATGCAAAAACACAATAGCATGAAAAAAACGCATACTAGAGCATACATGAACACAATAGCATGGAACCACGTATACAAGAGCATATAGGAACACAATACCATGAAACAACAAATACCACAGCATATAGGAACACAACATACACTAAAGTATACAGAAACACAATATCATGAAATAACATATACCAGAGCTTACAAGAACACAATTGCATGAAACAACATGTACCAGAGCATACAAAAACAAAAAAAGCATGGAACAACGTATACCAGAGCATAAAGGAACACAATAGCATGAAACAACATAAACCACAGCATACAGGAACACAATAGCATGGAACAACGTATACCAGAGCATATAGGAACACAGTAGCATGACACAACACATACTAGAGCATACAGCAGCACATAATCATGAAATAACATATACCAGACCTTACAGGAACACAATTGCTTGGAGCAACATAAACCAGAGCATACAGCAAGGTAAAAGCATAAAATAATATATACCAGAACATACAGCAACACAATATCATGAAACAACATATACCAGAGCATACAGGAACACAATAGCATGAAACAACTTAAGTGAGAGCATACAGGAACACAATAGCATGAAACAACATATAATAAACCATACAGGAACACAATAACACGAAACAACATATACCAGAGCATACAGGAATACACACAATAACACGAAACAACATATAGCAGAGCATACAGGAACACAATACCACAAAACAACATACACAAGAGCATACAGGAACACAAAAACATGCACAAAATCCAATGTAATCAGCATACAACAGTATGAAACAACATATATCACAGCATATAGGAACATAATAGCATGGAACAACGTATACCAGAGCATATAGGAGCACACTAGTATGACACAACTTATACTAGAGCATACAGCAACACAATATCATGAAATAACATATACCAGACCTTACAGGAACACAATTGCTTGGAGCAACATATACCAGAGCATACATGAAGTAAAAGCATGACACAATATATACCAGAACATACAGCAACACAGTATCATGAAACAACATATACCAGAGCATACAGGAACACAATATCTAAACAACATAAACAAGAGCATGCAGGAACACTATATCATAAAAAAACATATACCAGAGCATACAGGAACACAATGATATGAAACAACATACACCGTAGCGTAAGGAACACTATAGCAAGAAACAACATATATAAGAGTAAACAAGAACACACTATAACATACAATAACATATACAAGAACACAATAGCATGAAACAACATATACCAGAGCATACAGGAACACAATGACATGAAACAATATACACCATAGCATACAGGAACACAATAGCAAGAAACAACATATACCAGAGTATACAAGAACACAATAACAGGAAATAACATATATAAGAACATAATAACATAGAACAACGTATACCAGAGCATATAGGAACACACTAGCATGAAACAACATATACCACAGCATATAGGAACATTATAGCATGGAACAACGTATACCAAAGCATATAGGAGCACACTAGTATAACACAACATATACTTGAGCATACAGCAACACAATATCATGAAATAACATATACCAGAGCATGCAGGAACCTAATGACATGAAAAAACATACACCATAGCATACAGGAACACGATAGCAAGAAACAACATATATCAGAGTGAACAAGAACACAATATAACATAAAATAACATAAACAAGAACACAATAGCATGAAACAACATATAACAGAGCATACAGGAACACAATAGCATAACACAATGTTAACCAGAATTCTGAACATACAGGTACAGAATATCATGAGACAACATATCTAGAGCATACATGATCACAATAGCCTGAACAAAATTCAAGGTAATCAGGAACACAAAAGCATAAAATTACATATACCAGATTATACAAGACAAAAACGGTATTCTCATATTTTATTTAGCATAGAAACATGCACTTGATTTAAACACATAGTCCTTATACATCTAAAACAATGTAACTTCCAATGTATTATTCAATTTCAAAAGTAGGTAGTGTTGTTAGCTGGACAATGTTGCAGTGCAGGTTATGGGTATATCCATTATTCATTAATATGTTATCATCCTGAAAGTGAATGCACTATTTCTGCTGAACGTTTAGCCCCCCCCCCCCCCCCCCCCTGAAAATCAAATGGTCGTTCACATATAAATTGCTTTTCCAATACTGTTGATGATCGTTGATATGATCAAGAAATAATTTGCAAAGGACCATAATCATGAAGCAAGTAGAAAACGGTTTGTACTCCAACAGATGCTCCACAAACTGCATATAAAATTTGATTGAGAGAAGATAAAAATAAATCTTATATCTTAATGGTTCTATACACGAGTATATTTGGAGGGGAAAAATAAGTCATGTACTATAGTACTTTTATTGCTAAATGTTAACCTGTTTATTTATATGCGATACAAATCATGATGAGATCCTCAAATTATCATTAAAAAAAGTTGATAAGAAGGACTATATGCTCCAGGGAGCATCAAAAGTCACACATCTAGAAACCAAAGTTATTACCAACAATGTATCCAGAGCCCCAATTTGAGAATCTTCTTCAAACAAATTAGCCCGGGGTTCCTTGGACCATATGGTAAACCCCACATAGTGTCACATTGCAATTGGTATTGCTAAAATAAAAAAAAAAGTTACATTTAAAGTAAACAAACATTTCCAAGATTTACTACTATTTAAGCAAGTTACCTTGTACTTTGAATATTGACTCCATAATCGATAAGTGTTTTTCCCTTCCCTATATTTTCTATTTCATTCCAATCCAGCAAGGATAATGCAAGTTATCATCAGGAAACTATTTTTTCTAAAAGTTTTCGTTTTTAGAAAAAGTGACTTTGAACTTTGTTTTTTTTTCAAATATTATGGCTTCGATTATTACTTATAAGACATTATTTGTCTGAATGTGCATCTGGTGCAGTTTAAATTTGTAACCTTAATGTTATTTCATTCCAACAAAGTAAGAGAAACTCAAGTTACAATCTGGAAACCATATTAGAATATTTTATTTTAGTAACAGTGATCTTGAACTTTGGCCATTTGACCCTTAAAGCGATAGGTTTCTCCCCTTCCATATGTCTCCAATTTATATAAGTATCACCAATCAAGCAATGGAAACTCAAGTTAGCCACTTGTTTCGGCACACAAACAGACTGACGGACAAAAGAAGTTGGCCAATGCTTATATAATCTGAGAAACACACCTTATTACCAAAACTAAACAATGAGGTCAGACAACAATTCCATACACCGAATACAGTTGACCTATTGCTTAAACAGAGATAACTTTAAAACTTAACATTGACTACTGAACCATGAAAATGAGGTCAAGTTCAGATGAACTCTTCAAATCTGGGATGTACACTTTACTATCATTCCATACACCAAATATAGCTGATCAATTGCTTATAGTATCTGATACTAGTAAATGGACAAAACTAAGAAAACTTTACACGTGCATTGACCAATGAACCATGAAAACAATGTCAAGGTCATATGAAACCAGCCAGACAGACATGAACACCTAACAATCATTCCATACACCAAACATGGTGTCCCTTTGACTTTTAGTATCTGAGGTATAGCCCAAACAGGAAAAACTGAACATTGTTCAATTTACCATGAAAAAGGTCAAGGTGAGATAAACCTGTAAGATAGACTTGTACACCTCTTAATCAATCCATACACCAAATACATCTGATGTATTGCGTATAGTATCTGAGAAACAGACCAAACCACAAAAAATAAACATTGACCAGTGAACCATTAAAATGAGGTCAAGGTCAGATGAACCCTGCCAGACAGACATGTACACTTTACATTTATTCCATTCACCAAATATAGTGGGTTTTTTTTCTGCTTATAGTATCTGATAAATAGACCAAACCGAAAAAAAAACTTAACATTATCAAATGAACATAAGGTCAAGGTCAGATCCGATCTTGTCAGTCAGCTTTTCTCCTCATTTGGCGTCCGTCGTCGTCGTCCGTCACCTTTTACAAGAATCTTCTCCTCTGAAACTACTCGGCCAAATTTAACCAAACTTTGCCACAATCATCATTAGGGTATCTGGTTTAAAAATTGTGTCCGATGACCCGCCTGCTAACCAAGATGGCTGACATGGCTAAAAATAGAACATAGGGGGGAAATGCAAGTTTTGTCTATTATTATGAAAACCGTTATAAATAGAAAAAATCTGATAGAAGCAAAAATGATCAGAATGTTAAGCTCTTCCAATTGTCCTTCTACGTCAAAACTGTCAGACGACTTCTTATAGGAGTTATTGCCCTTAAATGACAAATTTTACCACTTTTTTTCATTTTTGCCTATTATCACGAAAACTATTATAGATAGA